ACTCTATACATTGAGACACTGAGACCCGGTCTCTACTCTAGACACTGAGACCAGGTCTCTACTCTAGACACTGACCCTGAGACCTGGTCTCTACTCTAGACACTGACCCTGAGACCTGGTCTCTACTCTAGACACTGACCCTGATACCAGGTCTCTACTCTAGACACTGACCCTGAGACCCGGTCTCTACTCTAGACACTGATACTGAGACCCGGTCTCTACTCTAGACACTGAGACCTTGAGACCCGGTCTCTACTCTAGACACTGACCCTGAGACCCGGTCTCTACTCTAGACACTGAGACCCGGTCTCTACTCTAGACACTGACCCTGAGACCCGGTCTCTACTCTAGACACTGACCCTGAGACCCGGTCTCTACTCTAGACACTGACCCTGAGACCCGGTCTCTTATCTAGACACTGACCCTGAGACCCGGTCTCTACTCTAGACACTGATACTGAGACCCGGTCTCTACTCTAGACACTGAGACCCGGTCTCTACTCTAGGACACTGACCCTGAGACCCGGTCTCTACTCTAGACACTGAGACCCGGTCTCTACTCTAGACACTGACCCTGAGACCCGGTCTCTACTCTAGACACTGACCCTGAGACCCGGTCTCAACTCTAGACTGATACTGAGACCCGGTCTCTACTCTAGACACTGAGACCCGGTCTCTGCTCTAGACTCTGATACTGAGACCCGGTCTCTACTCTAGACTCTGACTCTGAGACCCGGTCCCAACTCTAGACACCCTGAGACCCGGTCTCTACTCTAGACCCTGAGACCCTGAGACCCGGTCCCAACTCTAGACACCCTGAGACCTGGTCTCTACTCTAGACACTGACCCTGAGACCCGGTCCCAACTCTAGACACCCTGAGACCCGGTCTCTACTCTAGACCCTGAGACCCTGAGACCCGGTCCCAACTCTAGACACCCTGAGACCCGGTCTCTACTCTAGACACTGAGACCCGGTCTCTACTCTAGACACTGACCCTGAGACCCGGTCTCTAGATTCTGAGACCCTGAGACCCGGTCTCTACTCTAGACACTGACCCTGAGACCCTGAGACCCGGTCTCTACTCTAGACACTGAGACCCGGTCTCTACTCTAGACACTGACCCTGAGACCCGTTCTCTACTCTAGACCCTGACACTGAGACCCGGTCTCTACTCTAGACACTGACTCTGAGACCCGTTCTCTACTCTAGACTCTGACCCTGAGACCCGGTCTCTACTCTAGACCCTGACACTGAGACCCGGTCTCTACTCTAGACACTGACCCTGAGACCCGGTCTCTACTCTAGACACTGACACTGAGACCCGGTCTCTACTCTAGACCCTGAGACCCGGTCTCTAATCTAGACACTGACCCTGAGACCCGGTCTCTACTCTAGACACCCTGAGACCCGGTCTCTACTCTAGACTCTGAGACCCTGAGACCCGGTCTCTACTCTAGACTCTGAGACCCTGAGACCCGGTCTCTACTCTAGACTCTGAGACCCTGAGACCCGGTCTCTACTCTAGACACTGACCCTGAGACCCGGTCTCTACTCTAGACTCTGAGACCCTGAGACCCGGTCTCTACTCTAGACACTGATACTGAGACCCGGTCTCTACTCTAGACACTGACCCTGAGACCCGGTCTCTACTCTAGACACTGAGACCCGGTCTCTACTCTAGACACTGACCCTGAGACCCGGTCTCTACTCTAGACACTGACCCTGAGACCTGGTCTCTACTCTAGACACTGACCCTGAGACCTGGTCTCTACTCTAGACACTGACCCTGAGACCTGGTCTCTACTCTAGACACTGACCCTGAGACCCGGTCTCTACTCTAGACACTGATACTGAGACCCGGTCTCTACTCTAGACACTGAGACCTTGAGACCCGGTCTCTACTCTAGACACTGACCCTGAGACCCGGTCTCTACTCTAGACACTGAGACCCGGTCTCTACTCTAGACACTGACCCTGAGACCCGGTCTCTACTCTAGACACTGACCCTGAGAACCCGGTCTCTACTCTAGACACTGACCCTGAGACCCGGTCTCTACTCTAGACACTGACCCTGAGACCCGGTCTCTACTCTAGACACTGATACTGAGACCCGGTCTCTACTCTAGACACTGAGACCCGGTCTCTACTCTAGACACTGACCCTGAGACCCGGTCCTCTACTCTAGACACTGAGACCCGGTCTCTACTCTAGACACTGACCCTGAGACCCGGTCTCTACTCTAGACACTGACCCTGAGACCCGGTCTCAACTCTAGACTGATACTGAGACCCGGTCTCTACTCTAGACACTGAGACCCGGTCTCTGCTCTAGACTCTGATACTGAGACCCGGTCTCTACTCTAGACTCTGACTCTGAGACCCGGTCCCAACTCTAGACACCCTGAGACCTGGTCTCTACTCTAGACCCTGAGACCCTGAGACCCGGTCCCAACTCTAGACACCCTGAGACCTGGTCTCTACTCTAGACACTGACCCTGAGACCCGGTCCCAACTCTAGACACCCTGAGACCCGGTCTCTACTCTAGACCCTGAGACCCTGAGACCCGGTCCCAACTCTAGACACCCTGAGACCCGGTCTCTACTCTAGACACTGAGACCCGGTCTCTACTCTAGACACTGACCCTGAGACCCGGTCTCTAGATTCTGAGACCCTGAGACCCGGTCTCTACTCTAGACACTGACCCTGAGACCCTGAGACCCGGTCTCTACTCTAGACACTGATACTGAGACCCGTTCTCTACTCTAGACCCTGACACTGAGACCCGGTCTCTACTCTAGACACTGACTCTGAGACCCGTTCTCTACTCTAGACTCTGACCCTGAGACCCGGTCTCTACTCTAGACCCTGACACTGAGACCCGGTCTCTACTCTAGACACTGACCCTGAGACCCGGTCTCTACTCTAGACACTGACACTGAGACCCGGTCTCTACTCTAGACCCTGAGACCCGGTCTCTAATCTAGACACTGACCCTGAGACCCGGTCTCTACTCTAGACACCCTGAGACCCGGTCTCTACTCTAGACTCTGAGACCCTGAGACCCGGTCTCTACTCTAGACTCTGAGACCCTGAGACCCGGTCTCTACTCTAGACTCTGAGACCCTGAGACCCGGTCTCTACTCTAGACACTGACCCTGAGACCCGGTCTCTACTCTAGACTCTGAGACCCTGAGACCCGGTCTCTACTCTAGACACTGATACTGAGACCCGGTCTCTACTCTAGACACTGACCCTGAGACCCGGTCTCTGCTCTAGACACTGAGACCTGGTCTCTACTCCAGACCCTGACCCTGAGACCCGGTCTCTACTCTAGACACTGACCCTGAGACCCGGTCTCTACTCTAGACACTGACCCTGAGACCGGGTCTCTACTCTAGACACTGACCCTGAGACCTGGTCTCTACTCTAGACACTGACCCTGAGACCCGGTCTCTACTCTAGACACTGATCCTGAGACCCGGTCTCTACTCTAGACACTGAGACCTTGAGACCCGGTCTCTACTCTAGACACTGAGACCCGGTCTCTACTCTAGACACTGACCCTGAGACCCGGTCTCTACTCTAGACACTGACCCTGAGACCCGGTCTCTACTCTAGACACTGACCCTGAGACCCGGTCTCTACTCTAGACACTGATACTGAGACCCGGTCTCTACTCTAGACACTGAGACCCGGTCTCTACTCTAGACACTGACCCTGAGACCCGGTCTCTACTCTAGACACTGAGACCCAGTCTCTACTCTAGACACTGACCCTGAGACCCGGTCTCTACTCTAGACACTGACCCTGAGACCCGGTCTCAACTCTAGACTGATACTGAGACCCGGTCTCTACTCTAGACACTGAGACCCGGTCTCTGCTCTAGACTCTGATACTGAGACCCGGTCTCTACTCTAGACTCTGAGGACCCGGTCCCAACTCTAGACACCCTGAGACCCGGTCTCTACTCTAGACCCTGAGACCCTGAGACCCGGTCCCAACTCTAGACACCCTGAGACCTGGTCTCTACTCTAGACACTGACCCTGAGACCCGGTCCCAACTCTAGACACCCTGAGACCCGGTCTCTACTCTAGACCCTGAGACCCTGAGACCCGGGTCCCAACTCTAGACACCCTGAGACCCGGTCTCTACTCTAGACACTGAGACCCGGTCTCTACTCTAGACACTGACCCTGAGACCCGGTCTCTAGATTCTGAGACCCTGAGACCCGGTCTCTACTCTAGACACTGACCCTGAGACCCTGAGACCCGGTCTCTACTCTAGACACTGACCCTGAGACCCGGTCTCTACTCTAGACTCTGAACCTGAGACCCGGTCTCTACTCTAGACACTGAGACCCTGAGACCCGGTCTCTACTCTAGACTCTGAGACCCTGAGACCCGGTCTCTACTCTAGACACTGACCCTGAGACCCGGTCTCTACTCTAGACACTGACCCTGAGACCCGGTCTCTACTCTAGACACGATGGCCGTGAGGGTGGGTGGGTGTGTTTAACGATGGCCGTGAGGGTGGGTGGGTGTGTTTCACGATGGCCGTGAGGGTGGGTGGGTGGGGTTCACGATGGCCGTGTGGGTGGGTGGGGTTCACGGTGGCCGTGTCGGTGGGTGGGGTTCACGGTGGCCGTGTGGGTGGGTGGGGTTCACAATGACCGCGTGGGTGGATTGGGGGGTGGATTCACGATGGCCGTGTGGGTGGGTGGATTGGTGGGTGGATTCACGATGGCCGTGTGGGTGGGTGGGGTTCACGATGGCCGTGTGGGTGGGTGGGGTTCACGGTGGCCGTGTGGGTGGATTGGTGGGTGGGTTTCGCGATGGCCGTGTGGTTGGGTGGGGTTCACGGTGGCCGTGTGGGTGGGTGGGTGGGTTTCGCGATGGCCGTGTGGGTGGGGTTCACGATGGCCGTGTCGGTGGGTGGGTTTCGCGATGGCCGTGTGGGTGGGTGGATTGGTGGGTGGGGTTCACGGTGGCCGTGTGGGTGGGTTTCGCGATGGCCGTGCGGGTGGAGTGGTGGGTGGGGTTGAGGACTAGCAGTGTGGGTGGGGGGGGTTCACGGTGAGGTTAACGCACGGGCCTAGCCGAGCCTACGCTAGGCCCATGCGTTTGATGTTCCACTCCAGGATGGTGTCTTTGACGCCTTCGAAGACGCGGCGGATGTTCTTGGTGTCCGTTCCGCAGGTGAAGTGGGAGTAGATGGTCTTCTCCTCGTGTCTGCCGCCGCCTCCTCCATCCTCGTAGTCGTCCTGCTCCCCCTCCCGGTTGAGATCCAGGAACATCTGCAGGATGAACTGTCTGGCGGCTTCCGCGTCCTTCCTGGGTCCTGGCAGGGGGGAAGAGGGGGTGGTGGAAGAGTTGGAGGTGGTGGAGTTGATGGTGGAGGTGGTGGAAGAGTTGGAGGTGGTGGAGTTGATGGTGGAGGTAGAGGAGTAGATGGTGGAGGTGGTGGTGGAGTTGATGGTGGAGGTGGTGGAAGAGTTGGAGGTGGTGGAGTTGATGGTGGAGGTGGTGGAGTTGATGGTGGAGGTGGTGGAGTTGATGGTAGAGGTGGTGGAGTAGATGGTGGAGGTGGTAGAGTAGGTGGAGTTGATGATGGAGGTGGTGGAGTTGATCGTGGAGGTGGAGGAGTTGATGGTAGAGGTGGAGGAGTAGATGGTGGAGGTGGTGGAGTTGATGGTGGAGGTGGTGGAGTTGATGGTGGAGGTGGTGGTGGAGGAGTAGATGGTGGAGGTGGTGTAGTAGATGGTGGAGGTGGTGGAGTTGATGGTGGAGGTGGAGGAGTAGATGATGGAGGTGGTGGAGTTGATGGTGGAGGTGGTGGAGTAGATGGTGGAGGTGGTGGAGTAGATGGTGGAGGTGGTGGAGTAGATGGTGGAGGTGGTTGAGGTGGTGGTGGTTGAGGTGGTGGTTGAGGTACAGGTGGTGGTAGAGGAGGTGGAGGAGTAGATGGTGGAGGTGGAGGAAAAGGCGGTGGTGGAGGTGGTGGTGATGGAAGAGTTGGAGTTGGTGGTGGTTGAGGTGGTGGTGGTTGAGGTACAGATGGTGGTAGAGGAGGTGTTGGTGAAGGTGGTGGAGGTGGTGGTAGTTGGTGGTTGAGGTGGTGGAAGTGGTGGTGGTTGAGGTACAGGTGGTGGTTGAGGTACAGGTGGTTGAGGTACAGGTGGTGGTGGTTGAGGTACAGGTGGTCGTGGTTGAGGTACAGGTGGTGGTGGTTGAGGTACAGGTGTTGGTGAAGGTGGTGGAGGTGGTAGTTGGTGGTTGATGCGGTGGAGTAGCTTGGGTGGTTAAGGTGCGGGTTGTTGTGGTCATGGAGATGTGGTGATGGTGGTTGCAGTCGTCAGGATCATCAGCAGAAGCCTCTTGTCTCTCAAGGGGTTCACAATGGCCGTGTCTATGAAGTGGGTTCACGGTGGCCGTGTGGCTGCGTAGGTAGGTGGGTTCACCTCGTTCGTGTGAGAATGAGGAGGCTTGCCGCAGCCTTCGCTCGGAGCTTCGGAGAGCCGTGAGGCGCTGCAAGGATGGGTGGTGGTCGCGGGTTGCTGAGGTATACGGAGTCTGCCTCAGTGGCCCGCGATCACAAATCACTCTTTAATTCCATCAAAAAAGTAGCCTGCAGCGCCGCACCTATTACCATCATTAGGGGAAAGAACGGTGATCGAATCTCCGACCCCCAGGAACAGGTTCGCAGATTTGCTGAGCATTTCTGTGAGGTCCTGGGGGAGGGGAAATCCCTCAGCCAGGAAAACAACGTGGGACAAAGTGGGGATGACCCTGCTGAGGCTGCGGTGTCTCAAATATTGGAAGAAAAAGTCACCACCTGTGAGTGGCTGGCTGAGGTGACATCTGTTGAGGAAGTACTGAAGGCGATCCGGAGTCTGAGACCAGGAAAGGCAGCGGGCAGAGATGATCTCGCAAGCGAAATGCTGAGGGAGGGTGCCGTTTGTGCACAGACTGCCCTATATGACATCATAACAACAGTCTGGACCACTGGACGGGTTCCGCAGGATTGGAAGGATGCTCTGGTGGTCCCCCTTTTTAAGAAGGGGGACCGCACAGACTGTAACAACTACAGGGGCATCTCACTCCTCAGTGTGCCGGGAAAAGTCCTGGCAAGGATTCTTCAACATTGCCTTGCTAGGCACGCTGAGGAGAGGCTTGCGGAGCCCCAATACGGTTTCAGGAAAGGGCGGTCCTGCACAGATGCCATATTTTCTGTCCGTCTGCTACAGCAGAGGTGTAGGGAATTCCAACAAGACCTACATCTCTGCTTTATTGACCTGGTCAAGGCCTATGATACCATCAGTAGGCCTGGGCTCTGGGTTGTTCTTCGTGCTTTTGGAGTCCCCTGACCCTCTGCTCACGATCATTCAGGACCTTCATGATGGTGAGCAGGCCCGGGTAAAACTACGTGGCCGGGAGTCAGAGCCATTCCCTGTACACATTGGGGTGCGACAGGCATGTCCTCTGACTCCCACATTATTTTACATCTATTTTGACCACGTAGTTCGTGAAGCCTTCCATAGCTGTACTGGAGGAATTTCCATATGGTACAGATACAATGGGAGGTTGATCGATGCCTGGGTGTGGTCAAGGGATGGCTCCCTATTGCTCAACCACGTTATGTATGCTGATGATTTGGTAATAACTGCTCAGTCAGAGGAGGAGTTGGAGATGCTGCTGCTGAGCCTGGAGCTTTCCACTAAGAGGTGGGGACTTACCATCAGCCCAACCAAAACTAAGCACCTGCCTGGGTATTTTGTACCATCGGACATTCCACCTCCACAACTCCCAATTAGTGATAGGGCAGTTGTGGAGAGAGTGAAGAGTTTCCCATACCTGGGCAGTGTGCTCATGACCGGCTCCGGTTTAACAGTAGAGGTCTCACTCCGAATCAGTTGAGCGGTATTATCTTTTCATCAGTTGCGTAACGCTGTGTGGAAGCTACCTGGTCTGTCGCTCCGCACGAAGCTTCAGGTCTTCTCGGCAATGACCATTCCTTCGCTTGCGAAACATGGACCCCCTAATGGAACATCTTCGCCGGTTAGAAACATTTCGGCTGGCCTGCCTATGATCCATCCTGGGTTCAACCAGGCTGGATCATGTGAGGAGCTCACAAATCCTTGAAAGTTCTGGGCAAGGTCCCATCGGTGAGCTCCTCCGGCAGGCAAGGCTGCGTTGGCTGAGTCATGTAGCCCGCATGCCCAGCCACCGCATGCCAAAACAGCTTTTGTTTGGTCAGATCGAGGGGGCTAAACGGGCGTGGCACGGGCTAGAGAAGAGATGGAGTGATGTGGTACAGGAGGACGTGGAGCTGAGTGGACTTGCCGATGACCGGTACCAGCGGTGTCAAGATCGGCCTCTGTGGAGGAGGCTCGTAAGGACGCTCCTGGGCAGTTGGAGGCAGTCGCCCTCCAACAACAACGGAGGGCGGAGGAGCGACGCTCACAACAACGAGCGGAGCGCCGGGTGGCTAAAGCACAGCAGGTTGGCACAGTAGGGGGCACAGGTGGTGCATCAGCCAGTCATCTCAGTCAGTCGACCCGTGGCACCTGGGTCTGCCCCGTGACCTGCCAGCGGGCATTCGACACTTCACGTGGCCTCAAGGTGCACATGGCCTGGCACAAGCGTCGTGGTGACGTCACTGCCACTTAGTGGCGAATGGCGGTTGTTGTTGTGTATAGGTGGGTGTGTTGGTGGTCGTGTAGGTCGGTGGCTGGTGAGTGGGCAGGCGGGTTCCCGACGGCCGGGTGGGTTGGTGGCTTGGTGTGTGGGTGTCTAGGTGGGTGTCTAGGTGGGTGGGTGTCTAGGTGGGTGTCTAGGTGGGTGTCTAGGTGGGTGTGTAGGTGGGTGGGTGTCTAGGTGGGTGTCTGTGTGGTTGTGTAGGTGGGTGGGTGTCTGGGTGGGTGGCTGTGTGGTTGTGTAGGTGGGTGGGTGTCTAGGTGGGTGGCTATGTGGTTGTGTAGGTGGGTGTATAAGTTGGTGGGTGTCTAGGTGGGTGTCTAGGTGGTTGTGTAGGTGGGTGGGTGTCTAGGTGGGTGTCTAGGTGGTTGTGTAGGTGGGTGGGTGTCTAGGTGGGTGTCTAGGTGGGTGTCTATGTGGGTGTCTAGGTGGTTGTGTAGGTAGGTGGGTGTCTAGGTGGTTGTGTAGGTGTGTGTCTAAGTGGGTGTCTATGTGGTTGTGTAGGTAGGTGGGTGTCTAAGTGGGTGTCTAGGTGGGTGTCTATGTGGGTGTCTAGGTGGTTGTGTAGGTGGGTGGGTGTCTAGGTGGGTGTCTATGTGGTTGTGTAGGTGGGTGGGTGTCTGGGTGGGTGTCTAGGTGGGTGTCTATGTGGTTGTGTAGGTGGGTGGGTGTCTAGGTGGGTGGCTAGGTGGGTGGGTGGTCTCGGTGGGCGGGGAGTGGCAAGGTGGGTAGGTGTCTAGGTGGGTGTCTAGGTGGGTGGGTGTCTAGGTGGGTGTCTTGGTGGGTGGGTGGGCAGGGGAGTGGCAAGGTGGGTGGGTGTCCTGGGTGGGTGTCTAGGTGGGGGAGTGTCTCGGTGGGTGTCTGGGTGGGTGTGTTGGTGGGTGGGTGTCTAGGTGGGTGTCTTGGTGGGTGTCTGGGTGGGTGTCTTGGTGGGTGTGTAGGTGGGTGGGTGTCTAGGTGGGTGTCTAGGTGGGTGTCTAGGTGGGTGTCTAGGTGGGTGTCTAGGTGGGTGGGTGTCTAGGTGGGTGGGTGTCTAGGTGGGTGTCTGGGTGGGTGTCTAGGTGGGTGTCTAGGTGGGTGGGTGTCAAGGTGGGTGGGTGTCTAGGTGGGTGTCTAGGTGGGTGGGTGTCTAGGTGGGTGGGTGTCTGCGTGGGTGTGTAGGTGGGTGTCTAGGTGGGTGTCTAGGTGGGTGGGTGTTTAGGTGGTTGTGTAGGTGTGTGGGTGTCTAGGTGGATGGGTGTCTAGGTGGGTGGGTGTCTAGGTGGGTGTCTAGGTGGGTGTCTAGGTGGGTGGGTGTCTAGGTGGGTGTTTAGGTGGGTGTCTAGGTGGGTGGCTATGTGGGTGTCTAGGTGGGTGTCTAGGTGGGTGGGTGTCTAGGTGGGTGGGTGTCTAGGTGGGTGGGGGAGTGTCAAGGTGGGTGGGTTGACGACGAGGTGCTGTGGCGCTCCGCACCGCTGAACTGTGGGAAGTAATCAGCGAGGTGTGAGTGTGAGATCTTCTCTGGGTGGGTGTCTATGTGGGTGTCTAGGTGGGTGTCAAGGTGGGTGGGTGTCTAGGTGGGTGTCTGGGTGGGTGTCAAGGTGGGTGTCTAGGTGGGTGGCTATGTGGGTGTCTAGGTGGGTGTCTAGGTGGGTGTCTAGGTGGGTGGGTGTCTAGGTGGGTGTTTAGGTGGGTGGGTGTCTAGGTGGGTGTCTAGGTGGGTGTCTAGGTGGGTGTGTAGGTGGGTGGGTGTCTAGGTGGGTGTCTATGTGGGTGGGTGTCTAGGTGGGTGGGTGTCTAGGTGGGTGTCTGGGTGGGTGTCTAGGTGGGTGTCTAGGTGGGTGGGTGTCTAGGTGGGTGTCTAGGTGGGTGTCTAGGTGGGTGTCTAGGTGGGTGTCTAGGTGGGTGGGTGTCTAGGTGGGTGGGTGTCTAGGTGGGTGTTTGGGTGGGTGTGTAGGTGGGTGTCTAGGTGGGTGTCAAGGTGGGTGGGTGGGTTGACGATGAGGTGCTGTGGCGCTCCGCACCGCTGAACTGCGGGAAGTAATCAGCGAGGTGTGAGTGTGAGATCTTCTCCTCCAGGAGGTCGTTCTTGTTGAGGAACAGAATCACCGAAGATTCGCTGAACCACGGGTAAGAGACGATCAGGCGGAACAGCGACTTGCTCTCCTCCAGACGGTTCTACCACAAGGTGGAGTGGAGAGGGGGTGACACACGGGGGTGAGTGACTCCACCGTGGTGGACTATGAGGTGGACTATGGGGTGGACTATGGGGTGGACTATGGGCTGAACCACGGGTACGAGACGATCAGGCGGAACAGCGACTTGCTCTCCTCCAGACGGTTCTACCACAAGGTGGGGGTGACACACGGGGGGTGAGTGACTCCACCGTGGAGAGGGTGGACTATCGGGTGGACTATGTGGTGGACTATGGGGTGGACTATGGGGTGGACTATGGGCTGAACCACGGGTAAGAGACGATCAGGCGGAACAGCGACTTGCTCTCCTCCAGACGGTTCTACCACAAGGTGGGGGTGACACACGGGGGGTGAGTGACTCCACCGTGGTGGACTATGGGGTGGACTATGGGGTGGACTGTGGGGTGGACTATGGGGTGGGCTCTCTATCGTGGTGGACTTTGGGCTGGCCTCTCTGTTGGGTGGTGGACTCTATAGGGATGGACTATGGGGTGGAATATAGAGGGTGGACTCTCTATAGAGGGTGGACTCTACAGAGGGTGGACTCTATAGATGGTGGACTCTATAGAGGGTGGACTCTCTATAGAGGGTGGACTCTAAAGAGGGTGGACTCTCTACAGAGGGTGGACTCTCTATAGAGGGTGGACTCTATAGAGGGTGGACTCTCTATAGAGGGTGGACTCTCTACAGATGGTGGACTCTCTATAGAGGGTGGACTCTATAGAGGGTGGACTCTCTACAGAAGGTGGACTCTATAGATGGTTGACTCTCTACAGAGGGTGGACTCTCTACAGAGGGTGGACTCTCTACAGAGGGTGGACTCTATAGAGGGTGGACTCTACAGAGGTGGACTCTCTACAGAGGGTGGACTCTCTACAGAGGGTGGACTCTATAGAGGGTGGGACTCTATAGACGGTGGACTCTATAGATGGTGGACTCTATAGAGGGTGGACTCTATAGAGGGTGTACTCTATAGAGGGTGGACTCTCTATAGAGGGTGGACTCTACAGAGGGTGGACTCTCTACAGAGGGTGGACTCTATAGAGGGTGGACTCTATAGAGGGTAGACTCTACAGAGGGTGGACTCTCTACAGAGGGTGGACTCTATAGAGGGTGGACTCTATAGACGGTGGACTCTATAGAGGGTGGACTCTATAGAGGGTGGACTCTATAGAGGGTGGACTCTCTACAGAGTGTGGACTCTCTACAGAGTGTGGACTCTCTACAGATGGTGGACTCTACATAGATGGTGGACTCACCTCGAAGTCGCTCTCGGCCAGCACCTGGTCGTACTCGCTGAGGGCAGTGAGGAACAGGATGGAGGTGACGATGGTGGACTCTACAGATGGTGGACTCTACAGATGGTAGACTCTCTACAGATGGTGGACTCTCTACAGATGGTGGACTCTCTACAGATGGTGAACTCTCTATAGAGGGTGGACTCTACAGAGGGTGGACTCACCTCAAAGTCGCTCTTGGCCAGCACCTGGTCATACTCGCTGAGGGCAGTGAGCGAACAGGATGGAGGTGACGATGGTGGACTCTACAGATGGTGGACTCTACAGATGGTAAGACTCTCTACATATGGTGGACTCTCTACAGATGGTGGACTCTACAGATGGTGGACTCACCTCGAAGTCGCTCTCGGCCAGCACCTGGTCGTACTCGCTGAGGGCAGTGAGGAACAGGATGGAGGTGACGTTCTCAAGCAGTGAATCCATTTCCTCCGCTCACTTCTCTGTCCACCCACGTCCACCATCCTGGCCAGCGGCAGCAGCGGCAGTAGCAGCATCATCATGGGGTAGTATCATTAATAGTATCAGTAATAGTAGTATCAGTAATAGTAGTATCAGCAGCAGTAGTAGCATCATCATGGGTAGTATCAGTAATAGTATCAGTAATAGTATCATCATCATCATCATCATGGGTAGTATCAGTAATAGTAGTATCAGTAATAGTAGTATCAGTAATAGTATCAGTAATAGTATCATCATCGGTAGTGTCAGTAATAGTAGTATCATCATCGGTACTATCAGTAATAGTAGTATCAGTAATAGTAGTATCAGCAGCAGTAGTAGCATCATCATGGGGAGTATCAGTAATAGTATCAGTAATAGTATCATCATCATCATGGGTAGTATCAGTAATAGTAGTATCAGTAATAGTAGTATCAGTAATAGTATCATCATCATCGGTAGTATCAGTAATAGTATCAGTAATAGTATCATCATCATCGGTAGTATCAGTAATAGTAGTATCAGTAATAGTAGTATCAGTAATAGTATCATCATCATCGGTAGTATCAGTAATAGTATCAGTAGTAGTATCATCATCATCATCGGTAGTATCAGTAATAGTATCAGTAATAGTATCATCATCATCATCGGTAGTATCAGTAATAGTAGTATCAGTAATAGTAGTATCAGTAATAGTATCATCATCATCGGTAGTATCAGTAATAGTATCATCATCATCGGTAGTACCAGTAATAGTATCAGTAATAGTAGTATCAGTAGTAGTATCAGTAATAGTATCAGTAATAGTATCATCATCATCATCATCGGTAGTATCAGTAATAGTATCAGTAATAGTAGTATCAGTAGTAGTATCATCATCGGTAGTATCAGTAATAGTATCATCATCGGTAGTGTCAGTAATAGTAGTATCATCATCGGTAGTATCAGTAATAGTATCATCATCATCATCATCATCGGTAGTATGAGTAATAGTAGTATCAGTAATAGTATCATCATCCGTAGTATCAGTAATAGTAGTATCCGTAATAGTATCATCATCATCGGTAGTATCAGTAATAGTAGTATCAGCAATAGTATCATCATCGGTAGTATCAGTAATAGTAGTATCAGTAATAGTATCATCATCATCATCGGTAGTATCAGTAATAGTAGTATCAGTAATAGTATCAGTAATAGTAGTATCAGTAATAGTATCATCAGCATCATCGGTAATAGTAGTATCAGTAATAGTATCATCATCGGTAGTATCAGTAATAGTAGTATCAGTAATAGTATCATCTTCATCGGTAGTATCAGTAATAGTAGTATCAGTAATAGTATCATCATCGGTAGTATCAGTAATATTAGTATCAGTAATAGTATCATCAGCATCATCGGTAATAGTAGTATCAGTAATAGTATCATCATCGGTAGTATCAGTAATAGTATCATCAGCAGTAGTAGTATCATCATCGGTAGTATCAGTAATAGTATCATCATCGGTAGTATCAGTCATAGTATCATCAGCAGTAGTAGTATCATCATCGTAGTATCAGTAATAGTAGTATCTGTGGATGTGTAAGCTTTGACTTTAACAGCAATTTCTGTGACCAGTCACAAGCCAATCACTCAGCTATTTCAATGATAAATTTTCCTGTTTGATTTGTACTAGGTGCCTCTGTGGATGTGTAGGCTTTGACTTTAACATAGCTATTTCTATGACCAGTCACAAGCTAATCCCTCAGCTATTTCAATGATAAATTCTCCTGTTTGATTTGTACCAGGTGCCTCTGTGGATGTGTAAGCTTTGACTTTAACATAGCTATTTCTATGACCGGCCACAAACCAATCACTCAGCTATTTCAATGCTAAATTATACTGTTTGATTTGTACTAGGTACCTCTGTGGATGTGTAGGCTTTGACTTTAACATAGCTATTTCTGTGACCAGTCACAAGCTAATCACTCAGCTATTTCAATGCTAAATTCTCCTGTTTGATTTGTACCAGGTGCCTCTGTGGATGTGTAGGCTTTGACTTTAACATAGCTATTTCTATGACCGGTCACAAGCCAATCACTCAGTTATTTCAATGCTAAATTTTCCTGTTTGATTTGTACCAGGTGCCTCTGTGGATGTGTAGGCTTTGACTTTAACATAGCTATTTCTATGACCGGTCACAAGCTAATCACTCAGCTATTTCAATGCCAAATTATCCTGTTTGATTTGTACCAGGTGCCTCTGTGGATGTGTAAGCTTTGACTTTAACATAGCTATTTCTATGACCGGTCACAAGCCAATCACTCAGTTATTTCAATGCTAAATTCTCCTGTTGATTTGTACCAGGTGCCTCTGTGGATGTGTAGGCTTTGACTTTAACATAGCTATTTCTATGACTGGTCACAAGCTAATCACTCAGCTATTTCAATGCTAAATTTTCCTGTTTGATTTGTACCAGGTGCCTCTGTGGATGTGTAAGCTTTGACTTTAACATAGCTATTTCTATGACTGGTCACAAGCCAATCACTCAGTTATTTCAATGCTAAATTCTCCTGTTTGATTTGTACTAGGTGCCTCTGTGGATGTGTAGGCTTTGACTTTAACATAGCTATTTCTATGACTGGTCACAAGCTAATCACTCAGCTATTTCAATGCTAAATTTTCCTGTTTGATTTGTACTAGGTGCCTCTGTGGATGTGTAAGGTTTGACTTTAACATAGCTATTTCTATGACCAGTCATAAGCTAATCACTCATCTATTTCAATGCTAAATTCTCAGGTTTGATTTGTACTAGGTGCCTCTGTGGATGTGCAGGCTTTGACTTTAACATAGCTATCTCTGTGACCAGTCAAAAGCTAATCACTCAGCTATTTCAATGCTAAATTCTCCTGTTTGATTTGTACCAGGTGCCTCTGTGGATGTGTAGGCTTTGACTTTAACATAGCTATTTCTATGACCCGTCACAAGCCAATCACTCAGCTATTTCAATGCTAAATTATCCTGTTTGATTTGTACCAGGTGCCTCTGTGCATGTGTAAGGTTTGACTTTAACATAGCCATTTCCGTGACCAGTCACAAGCTAATCACTCAGCTATTTCAATGCAAAATTTTCCTGTTTGATTTGTACTAGGTGCCTCTGTGGATGTGTAAGCTTTGACTTTAACATAGCTATTTCTACGACCGGTCACAAGCTAATCACTCAGCTATTTCAATGCTAAATTATCCTGTTTGATTTGTACCAGGTGCCTCTGTGGATGTGTAGGCTTTGACTTTAACATAGCTATTTCTATGACCGGTCACAAGCCAATCACTCAGCTATTTCAATGCTAAATTATCCTGTTTGATTTGTACCAGGTGCCTCTGTGGATGTGTAAGCTTTGACTTTAACATAGCTATTTCTGTAACCAGTCACAAGCTAATCACTCAGATATTTCAATGCTAAATTATCCTGTTTGATTTGTACTAGGTGCCTCTGGGATGTGTAAGGTTTGACTTTAACATAGCTATTTCTATGACCAGTCACAAGCTAATCACTCAGCTATTTCAATGCTAAATTCTCCTGTTTGATTTGTACTAGGTGCCTCTGTGGATGTGTAGGCTTTGACTTTAACATAGCTATTTCTCTGACCAGTCACAAGCTAATCACTCAGCTATTTCAATGCTAAATTCTCCTGTTTGATTTGTACTAGGTGCCTCTGTGGATGTGTAGGCTTTGACTTTAACATAGCTATTTCTGTGACCGGTCACAAGCTAATCACTCAGCTATTTCCATGCTAATTATCCTGTTTGATTTCTACCAGGTGCCTCTGTGGATGTGTAAGCTTTGACTTTAACATAGCCATTTCCATGGACCAGTCACAAGCTAATCACTCAGCTATTTCAATGCAAAATTTTCCTGTTTGATTTGTACTAGGTGCCTCTGTGGATGTGTAAGCTTTGACTTTAACATAGCTATTTCTATGACCGGTCACAAGCTAATCACTCAGCTATTTTCAATGCTAAATTATCCTGTTTGATTTGTACCAGGTTGCCTCTGTGGATGTGTAGGCTTGACTTTAACATAGCTATTTCTATGACCGGTCACAAGCTAATCACTCAGCTATTTCAATGCTAAATTCTCCTGTTTGATTTGTACTAGGTGCCTCTGTGGATGTGTAAGCTTTGACTTTAACATAGCTATTTCTGTGACCGGTCACAAGCTAATCACTCAGCTATTTCAATGCTAAATTATCCTGTTTGATTTGTACTAGGTGCCTCTGTGGATGTGTAAGGTTTGACTTTAACATAGCTATTTCTATGACCAGTCATAAGCTAATCACTCAGCTATTTCAATGCTAAATTCTCCTGTTGATTTGTACTAGATGCCTCTGTGGATGTGTAGGCTTTGACTTTAACATAGCTATTTCTGTGACCAGTCACAAGCTAATCACTCAGCTATTTCAATGCTAAATTCTCCTGTTTGATTTGTACCAGGTGCCTCTGTGGATGTGTAGGCTTTGACTTTAACATAGCTATTTCTATGACCGGTCACAAGCCAATCACTCAGTTATTACAATGCTAAATTCTCCTGTTTGATTTGTACTAGGTGCCTCTGTGGATGTGTAAGCTTTGACTTTAACATAGCCTATTTCTATGACCAATCACAAGCTAATCACTCAGCCATTTCAATGCTAAATTCTCATGTTTGATTTGTACTAGGTGCCTCTGTGGATGTGTAGGCTTTGACTTTAACATAGCCATTTCCGTGACCAGTCACAAGCTAATAACTCAGCTATTTCAATGCTAAATTCTCCTGTTTGATTTGTACCAGGTACCTCCGTGGATGTGTAGGCTTTGACTTTAACATAGCCATTTCTGTGACCAGTCACAAGCTAATCACTCAGCTACTTCAATGCTAAATTCTCCTGTTTGATTTTGTACTAGGTGCCTCTGTGGATGTGTAGGCTTTGACTTTAAATAGCTATTTCTGTGACCAGTCACAAGCTAATCACTCAGCTATTTCAATTCTAAATTATCCTGTTTGATTT